CTATGAATCATTCCAGTTCTTCATATCTTCATCCTTTCTAGGTCCTTTTAGCTACTTGGTTACTAACCATCAGATAATGATTAACAGTTCTCATTTGAAGTCAGTGGATATCCAGAAGACTCCGGTTACAAGCTGAAATCCAGACTACACTACTTGGGTTTGTGTATATATGCCAATCTTGAAAGAAGATTGTGTGGTGAAATAAACAGTTCAAGGGGTCTATCCTCTTTAGTATTCCATGTGGATGAGAGCAAATTGTTGACAAAGAGCCTCAACCATAAGAAAAAGACCTTTGTAAACAATTTTCTTCTGTTTTCTACAATGAATTAGAGACATTCATACAAGATTCTTTAAAAATCAATTTGTTCATTTAAACCTATACCTGGATACTCCAAATAAGGTTCTAGCTTTTCATAGGTGTACTTACTCTCATGTTTCAAATATTGGAAAACATGTCTTTTGAAATGAAGGAACTCACCTTCATTTCTCTCCATCTATTTCAATATCGTGGAAATAAGTAATCCACCAGATTCTAATCCTTTGGTAACTTATGGCTAGGACTGGACTAAGTTAACTGAAGAGTTAGAGCAAAAAATAAAAGGGAAAAAGAAACAAAAAGGGAACCATCTCTTTGCCAAGTTATGTAGTATCTTAGGCCCCTCAAAACAAAATGGTGCTTCTCCATTCCACCTCCCAAAGGCAACTGGACTGGCAGCTGAATCTTGCCCCAACACCGTCTTCTTCTCCACCTGAAAACAGCACACACTCTGGGGTGATGCAGGACAAGCTGCTTTGACCACACAGAACTATCCTGCAACAGAGACCAGCCAGGAGACTGCTGCTATCCTATCCATACCACCTAGCACCTTCCACCTTAGCTGACTGTGGCACTCTGTCTCATAAGCCTTACCTATGGAAGAAAGCCCTAGAAACATCTCTCCCTTCCTTGGCAATAAAAATACTGTACTAATAAATTAAATAACAAGTTAGATGCTTTTCCATGACAGCCTAAGTTAGCTGCCTTTTCATGACAGCCTTAATTTACTGCCACATCATTCTATCTAATGGTAGAGCCAATTCTTGATGGGCCTTTTGGCTGACTAGCTACCTAAACTCTTTTCAGGCATTAAGTGTGAACAGGATATATAAAGGCAAATCCAGGGTATGGGGCTGTATTGGCCCTAACCCAAATGCAGTAGCCCCATCCTTGCATTGAAAAAATGATGACTGAGGGGGCTTCCTATTTCTCATTCAAACACAATGATTATTCCCCTGATCATGGTTGCCTCTAATTGTAGGGGAAAGTAGTAGGATATGGAAAATACCTTACTAAATTTATGTCTATGGAATATCCCTCCAGACATGGGGCTGGAGCAAGAGATGGGATGACTGATGACATTTGATTTCAAATGCTTTTACAAAGTTCTGTTGATAGAAAGTTCGGAATGATCCTGCCTGCACGCATTTCTCTTATATTTTTGGAGGATATTTCTGTGTTATCACAATGCATTGAATCCAGATTTAGAGTCATGCTAGTAGAAGAGGATCTCTCTACCTGACAAAGCAGCCTGTCCAGGCCCCTGAAAATCCTGCACAGACAATAAGGGTTCAGTAGATGGTGAAGGGGGAAGCCTCAAAAGTTGGGCAGAGTTCCTCCAGACCCAAGTCACCTTTCCATCCATAAGAGCCAGATTATGGCTCTAATCCAGTATCTCCATGTAGTTGATATGATCACTTCTTCTGAAATTGGCCTGCTGAATTCATTCATGCAGCATCCACCACTACATTCTAACTAAATTGGGTGCGACGTATTTTAATGTAACTTTGGAATGTGTGTATAAAAACATGTGTTGTGTCGACATTTTTCTTAGATATATATGGAACATTATGGCAACTAGAAATGGAAAGTTAAAGTGCACCTTTAGTGGAGGCCACATAGCCATGAAAGTAAAGCAGATCCTTTCATAGTTCGGACCTGTCTGCACAAAGCAGTCACAGATGAACCAGATCAGAGTGAAGGGTTGGGGCTATTTTGTTCCATGGCATCATTACACAGTTGGTAACATGGGAATTAGCCCTCAAAAACAAAACAAACACCAGGAAAGATATTTATGAACTTTTTATTTTTAAAAAATAGGGCATTAACTCCTCTCAATTGCCTATTTAAATCAAGGAAATTACTTTGTCTTTTCACAAAAGACAGAGTTAAAGCCTTCTGGTTTCCAGAGTTAAACCATTTAAAGCTAGAAGAGCATCAGAAGTCTCCATTGCACTCAGTAATAACTCTTAATTCTCATCACCAGGAGAAAGAGAACAAGATGCTAAGGTCATCCAGCAACACAGGTAATAAATCTCATAAAATTGGAACATGCCTCTACCAGTTTACTGAATAAGCCAACAAAACAGTTTATTATAGAAACTCCCATTTGGGGCTGAATTATGAGCACACAATTGATGACTATAAATGAAATATATTGCATGCAATTTATAAAATGAAATTGAGAGTCTGTGGTAACTTTTTCTATTTTAGTATAAAAAAGACTCTTGTACTGTATAAAAAGCAACCACCTCTCCCCCCCCCCCCCCAAAGGAGATGGGGGAGAAACTATACTCATTTCAGGTTTATTTATTAATGAAGGGAGATGCATTCATGTTTTCACCTCAAATATCTCTGTACAAATATCATAAGGAGCTTTCAAGGGAGGTCACACATCACAGTTTCTGGGAGTCACAGTTGCTGATTCAGAATTTGCTCCCAGTTTACCTGGATGGAATACAGTTGACATGGTTGCCTCTACCTATAGGGAAAAGTAAAACCCTTTCAGCAAAGCCTTTCTATTTATTGGGCTGGTACATGTGTTTCTATTTAATCTAATTCCATTTTTCATAGAAGATGCAGACCATGCTTGATACATCTGCTTGAGGCTAAGCAGATGAGAGACTTCGCCAGTATGGGAGGCTTCCCTGAAACTTCTGCCTGTCCATGTGGAATTTTCTCATCAAGACAGGATGTAGATGTAGTAAGTAAATGCTAGTGAATATTTAATATAGATACCAGACTATAATGTTCAATAATCTTTTTGCACTTAGTTTTTTCCCTTATGTTTTTGCAGTAGCCTTTATATGCTCATTCTGTTGGAAATGTGTTGTGGTGCTATTGTCCAACATGCAAAATGATTTTTATAGCTTGATACTTCTCATTTTAATCAGCCATTGAAATATCATGTGCCAGTATGGCATAGTGGTTAGAGTACTGAACTGGGGCTCAGGAGAGATGGGTTCTAATCCCCAGTGACTTTGGGCCAGTACCTCGTAGGGTTGGTATGAGGATAAAATGGGGTGGCAGAAAACCTTGTGAGCTCCTTGGGTTCCTTGCAAGAGGAAGAAAAATGGGGTACAGATGTAATCCAACAGCAATATCATCAAGAAAAGTGCCATGATCAAGAATAGTTCTCTATAGGTTACAGGATATTATGATGTTGCTTGATGTACTACATGCCCATTTTCGTGTTATCTGTAGCAGTGATACATGGTCTAGTTTAAACAAGCCCTTAGTGAACAACCATTTTTTAAAACTGGGAATATAGTCTGAACCAACCCAGAGCTGCCGGACCAGCTATGTTTTTTTCTACCCACTCCCTTCCACGATAAATTAGGCACAACTAAAGAGCTCGTCAGTCTAACCTCTTCAGTGTGAATGTCACCAGACTTTTGCAGAATTTTTCTATTACATACATCATCTATGTGTTCCTACTCAATCTCATTAAGCCGTGAGGCCTGTAGTAACTCTTATGTTCCAAGGACAGCTGGAGTATACTCAATCCCTATACTTTCTTTCAAAGGTTACATGAAAGTCCAATTCGCATCATCATCATCCAGTACATTTCTATACCTCCTGTAATTGAAGCTCTCTGGGTGATCACAGCTTTAAGTCACCCATCCAGGTTTCAACCAGGCCAGACTCTACTTAGCTTCCAAGATTAGGCAAGATCACGCACTTCAGGGTATACAGAATAGAATTGATTTCAGGTAAATTTGCAGTTGGAGCCATAATTTCTTAGTGAAGAAAAAGGGAACACTGGTAATTTATCAAAGGCTTCGGGCAAAATATGGCTTTTAAAGAAACTGCATCTATGTGTCGATTTTGAAAGTTTGAATAGAAGACCTTAGTTAGGACTTGGCAATGTCCCAGATGAGGGAAATGGAATCATTAAACATTATTAAAATGTTTAGTGAAAGAATTCCTATTTTAACAAACTGGTGCCCACTTTTTAATCTCCAGCCATGTTCCCTTCAAAACTAACTTTTTAAAAAATAAAAATAAATGCACTGAAATGTAGATGAAAAATTATTTTAGGTGGACTCTCCAAAACTAGTGCATTAAAACCATTTCTTGCATCCTGCAGTTTTGATAAGAAAATCTGAATTGCACGAGTCCCCATACAACTCTCGGTGCTTGATGAGTTCCCTGGGAGACTCTCCTCGAGGGAATTTGCTTCCCCGAACTTCGATCTGCGTTCATCTGGCTTTCGGGAAGGGGCGCTCCGCTGCCCCGACCGCGAGGGCCCATCGGGTCCCAGGGCCACGAGTCTTGCGCTCCCGCGGGCGCTGGCTTCGTGCAAGCCGAAGGCTGGGCCGCCTAGGCGGGGCAGAGGCACAGGTAGCGGCGCGATGGCGAGCCGAGCACAAAGGCAAACCCCTCCTCAGCTTCCTCCTTCGCTGGAGCCAGGAAGAGGGGAGGAAGAAGGTGGAGTTCTCGGGGGCTTCCCTCCCTCGCTCCCTCCCTCGCCCTGTCCTTTTCGCTCAGCCAGTAACGAGCGTCTGCGCCTTTGAACTCCGGCGCTCGCCAGCGCGGCTGCACGCGCGCTATAAATAAAGTTAAGGGCCGAGCAGAGGGCGAGCGAGCGCGCAGCTCGGCTGAAGGGGTGGCAGGGACGAGCGCTTCCCGGTCTTCCCCCGGCAGCGCGCTCTCTTTCTCCCTCTCTCCCTTCCCCGGAGCCATGGCGTGCGTGGACAGATGCCGCTGCTGCACGGACAACCGGCGGCAGAGCAGCATTCTCTACAACATCCTGAAGAGCGAGGAGCAGCAGAAGCAGAAGCAGGAGCAGGCGGCGAGCGAGCAGGCGGCGCCTGAGCCCCGGCAGGCGGCACACCGGCTGGGGCTGGGGCTGGGCTGCTCGTGCGGCTCGCAGAGGCGGGTGGCCCTGAAGAGCCCGCAGGTGGCGTGCAAGGCAGCTTCGGCCGTGCTGGTGAAGACGCTGCGCTTCGTCAAGAACGTGCCGTGCTTCCAGGAGCTGCCCCTGGACGAGCAGCTGGTGCTGGTACGCAGCTGCTGGGCCCCCTTGCTCGTGCTGGGGCTGGCCCAGGACCGCGTGCACTTCGAGACGGTGGAGACCACGGAGCTGAGCATGCTGCACAGGATATTGACTAACCAGCGCGGCGAGCAGCAGCAGCAGCTGCTCTTGCACAAGACCCAAGAGCAGCTGGAGCCGACCTGCGGAAGCGGCGGCAGCCCTAAGCTACCATCTGCGGGAGAGATCCAAGCCATCAAAGGCTTCCTGGCCAAATGCTGGAGCTTGGACATAAGCACCAAGGAGTACGCCTATCTCAAGGGAACCGTGCTCTTCAACCCGGGTAAGCAGGGCACTCCTGTGCCGCGCCCTCGCCCTGCGTTTGGCAGTGTTGGGGTCTGCACTGGCTGGGATGGGTTATGCTGCCCTTCCTTTCTGGCAGGGTCCGCTGCAGAAATCCCCTCCCCGCCATCACCTGCGGGTTGTTCTGACCTGTGGCCTCTGCTAGGTACCTGTCAAGATCATAGGGCCAGAGGGCAGTGCTGGGTGGGGTGCGGAGATCGCAGATGGCGATAGAAGGCACTTCTCTGTGGTTGAAGGGTTGGATGGGTGCCTGCAGGCACCTCAGTTCTGCACAAGTAAGTACAGAAGCTGAAAACATGCCTCTCGGTTTCACGTGAAGAAGTCTCTGTGTGTGTGCGTGTGGGGAATTAATACAATGAATGTTTCTTCTTATCATCTTAATGAAGTCCTTTGCTGTTGCATCATTTGGTGCAGAAGCACCTTACAGTGTGCCTTAAGTCACATCCTGACTTGAAAAAATGGGGAAAGGTTCAAAACTCTGTATCTGCTCTGCTCATGAAAATTTACTCTGGCAGAACATATGTGCTAGGAAATATTCCAAAAGAATTAAAACAATTTTGGCTCAAACTGGCTCACTTTAGTTTTTCTTTTTCTAGGCTGAAGAGTGCCCATTTTTGTTAAATAAAAGAAATTATGGCAAACTGAGACCACAAAACTGAGACCATCCTTTCAGTCATAGAAACGTATTTCTGGGTAAATCTGTCTAGGACTGGACCACAGAGCTAAGAACATCTTCATCTTTTTATGTGTTGGCATTTTAGGGTTTCATCTAAAATGGTATGGCTATGATGAAATCAGGCAATGATGTGTGAAAGACATCACATTCTTATTCCAGCTGTGAGGCATGTTTGGATTAGTGGGGCACTTTTTGCTGGGGTTATTTCTTTTTTCTTTTAAATTGCAACATAAAGCAAGTATCAGTTATGATCTAGAAATTCCCTAGAGTTTGATGACCTGCTCAGGGAACCTTATTGACTAATGCAGTACAATAAGAAAATTCCATAAATATATAAGGTACTGTATAGTAGTTAAGACTACAAGAACAATTCTATGTTATTGTGTTGTATATAAGGATTCACATTTTGGCACTGCACTCAAGTGTAAACAGTACCTAATTTTGACACTTAAAAAAACTATTTCCAAGAAAAATTGCAATTTTGGGAATTAAACCACAACATCTAGAGAGATACTAATCGTATACATTATTAGCATAGTCTATATAATGCCACCACAAGAGAGAGCGAGAGACCTAATGCAGCCTATTAGTATATAATCTATATGTATTTTAAAATGTGTTGTACTAACAACCCAATATTTTTGAAGTATATCAGTAGACTGAAATAGCAATACTGTGTACTTAATATATTATAATATTCATGCATATAATTAACATAGGAAACAGAATAGACATTTCAGAAGATATATCTATTTTGGATTTCAAAAATTATATTGAAATTTTGAAACATATACTGACAAACATAAGAAATAGAAGAAATGCAAGCACAATCCCTTCCCACAAGTCTGTTGCAATTTCATTGTAAGCACTTGGTGTTTCATTTGAACATGAATGACATTGACTATCAACAAGTTGTTAGCAAACCCTTTCTTTCCCCTTTTGTATGCTACCTATGGCTCTTTGAATGCTAAAAAGTAAACCTCGTTGGTCTATTTTATAACCAATAGGATTAAATGTGTTCATGTTAGAGAAATTAATAAGTTTTACAAAAATTGTTGTTTCCACTCCAGCTGGTTAATAGTGGCTTTGTCCCCCTTCATTCTCTGAAATCAGGGGTAGAAAAACATGGATTTCAATGGAGCTGTAAACTTTGAAATGCCATTCAAACAACTTTGCAAGTTTACATTAATCTATTGGAACAATCAATCTTTAGCTGACTTATCAGTAAAAGTTCAGAAAAGTCCATTTTTGTTCTTAATCAATGGAACAAGTTTTCAAACCTTCCAGTAAGGGTTTAAACCTCCCAGTAAGTTGGCACAGTGTAAGAAGACAGTTTTAACTGTTTATAATGCCTTTAATATATGATATAAGAAGCTAACTTAGTTTTGATATTTTCCTTCCATTCTTCCAGATCTGCCAGGGCTTCACTGTGTACAGTACATCCAGGGACTTCAGCAAGAAGCACAGCAAGCCCTAAATGAACATGTCAGACTGATTCACAGAGGGGACCAGGCCAGATTTGCCAAACTAAATGTGGCTCTGTCCATGCTCAGATCCATTAATGCCAACGTTATTGCTGAACTTTTCTTTAGGCCCATCATTGGAACGGTGAATATGGATGACATGCTGTTGGAGATGCTCTGTGCAAAGTTATGAAGTTGTGTAAATATTATATATATATATATATATGAGTAATCCAACATGAAAGTACCCACAGCAAAATAGTGTACAGTAGTGTAAAATAAACTAACTTATTATTTTTACATAAAGTATTTTTGTATTCAATAATAAAAGATTTGAGTGCTCTTAATTTTTATTAAATACACAGCTTCAAAGTGTTCATTCAGCAACATCCACATGCCCTTGGAAAAAAAAATGGAAATCAGGCATACTTATGCAGCAGTAAGTTCCACAGTATTTACCTGCGTCTTACACCCAGGCAAGTGTCTGTTGCGTTTTCAAGGTAAATTGAATATTCTGCAGTGCAGCTTTTCCTAAAAGCTAGACTGATTAGTGTATTGTATCAGTATAGGGGATTGTTATATCAGCTGTTCTTACAGTCCTATATTAATACATGCTGAATTAAACAGAGTGCAACATTCTGTCTTGCATTTCATATAAATCCCGTCCAAACACTTTGACTGATTTAAAGGGCTTTGGAACCAACCTTACTATAGCAGGAGAGGTTTGAACCCCAACACCAGCAACTACGTGGAATGAAGCAAGCTTATGTACCCATAATATTTTAAAAAAATATATTGCTGGCACACACACACTCTGCTACTGTAATGCTTATACCAAGAGGTTCAAGGTAATGTATATTTGAATGAATTGTCAATAAATGATAATGTATTCTTTGGGACTGGATTTTCATCTTAGTCCTTTGACAAAAAGATCTTTATAATCAGTGGCATCAATTTGCACAACTAATGGGGATTATAAATTGGTTTCATATACTCCTGGCTTACTTTATGAAAAGAAAGAAATCATCTATCTTAAAATCAGTTTTCTTCTGTGTGAATTTTCATGGGGTAGTAATCGTGCAGACTTCAGACCACTGATGGCTTGAAAGTAAGTTGTGGAGGTACAAATATAAAAACACAACAGTTGCAACCTAAACTTTTTTCTAGGCCACCAAACTATGTTCGGCACTCCAATAAATATACAAGAACAGCCACTACAACCTCGATGTTGGAAATCGGTGGGATGCAGGGAACAAAATCCACCTCAGTAAATATTGCTGTGCTAAAGTGTCCTGGCTTACTATTGTGAAGAACAGGGGGCATCCTTACCTTAGCAATTGTGCATCTTTATCACTGATGCCCTTCTTAACAGTAAAAACATTTGCCCTTAAGTCCTTACATTAATGGACAGCATTTTCCCCACATAGTTAATATCAGATATCCATGTACTTTATTTAATGGATACAAACTGAGTACATGGACAGATTTGAAAGTGGTGTATACGAATATGTACACACACAATGCTGCGATGATATATCCTAATATGTCCAGCGATTTCAGTAAAACAATGTTTTTCAAGGTGTTTGAATGGGGGGAGGATGAGGTGGCATACAGAATTTCCAGCCGTAATGATTTGGTATTGCTAGGGTTGTGTCTGTATGTGTGAATGCAGCACATTCAAAAAGGTGTGCAGTGTGAAATAGTTTGGGAGCCACTAAAATATTTAGAGGAGGGAGAACTCGACCTGTGACTCAGACAGAATTCTGACTATCAGCTATGTATGGCATGGAAGTGCAAATGTAAAATACCCATTTTCTTCTGTCTGCTTGGGGTTATAAAATTGCTGGGTTGTCAAGTTGGAAAGCTAGTTGGGCTGTGCTTGACTTGTTATGTCATATAAGCAAATAAGGCTTCAATCTATACATGAAGATAAAATATGTATCTAGTAACAGGGTAAAATGTCCCACAATGTTTCCACAGGGAAGGCAAGATCCATTTTATCTCTGCTACCATATACAAAAGATAACAAACACACCTCAACTATCTGTGGCTCAAACCAAATGCTGACCATCGGCCGTGTACATTTTACATGGCTCCAAAATGGCCAGAGGTAAAAAAAATAATTGCAGCATAGTATTGGTCGTGAATAGTATGGGTTCTCAGATTATGCACATGAATATTTGCAGGCATGTGATCTTGCACAGAGTTTCACAAGCTCTTCCAGTCAGTAAATACACAAGTGATGTCATCTTAGTGCAAGTTCTAAGGATTTTATGTGTCAATTAATTACATTCAAACTAAACTGTTCCCATTTTCAAAATGAGTATATCAAAGGGCACATTTATTTATTTATTTATTTATTTATTAAAACATTTTTATGCCGCCCCATTCGCCGAAGCCTCGGGGCGGCTTACAAGTATTACAAGTATAAGTATTACATTCGTATTGCAACTACAAATTACCATTGAAAATCAAACCATGCAAATGAGAAAAGTCTTTACCAGTATTACAAGCTGAAAGTGCTTTGATATCCATGGTCACATACCCAAACACTACTCTGAATTTCAGGGTCTTTTTCTGGAACTCACCTTGAGTGCTGTGGATATAAATGAAGATTGCACAACAGCATCGTGTATTATAAACTTTTGCAATGTTCCCTGCCAAATCCTACAGAAATCTTCATAGTGACATATTATGTTGCTGTCAATTGGGCAGAATTCCTCAAAAAAATAGTTACCAATACACAGAAGACAGTAATTAACCTATATCTGTGCGCATGTTGACCCTTTCACAAGGTTTCCCATACCCGCAAGGGTGTGATGTGCAACACTGTGTAGCAGACAACAATGTATAAGATAACTTACTACATTGCCATTGTTGAAGAGAGTACAAAAAAAAATCTCAAGCGCATTCATCTTGCTGATCTGGAATATGCAAACATAGCATGGAAGTGCTCAGATCTACCTGGAGGCCTGGATTCCGCAATCAGGTGTGCCCTGTTCATGATTTTTTAAGCTTGTGCGCAGTATTCAGCATACGGTCTCTGAAGACTGACGTGGGTACAACACATAATTCTTGTCAGCACTATACACTTCTTGTAATAACTTGCTGAGTGAAATCCAAAGAAGGGAACTCAAGGGCTTTTGTGTGTAGATTTTTCCTTGAACGGGAGGCCTGTCTCTTCAGTTTGGGGTGAGTGAAGGCTGCTATGCAAGAAATAGAAGTCTAGAATGCTTATGGACACAGGGGACTAGTCATGTGGCTCTTTGTACTCCTACCCTGGATTAACTCAACTATCTCTGGATTAAATCATTGTCTCAGAAAGTTATGCAATCAAGGGAATGGAACACTGTTTCAAAAGGCAGTCCTAGGTCTACATACAACTCCCAGCCTTCTTCATACAACCACTTCAGACCTTGGACAAGAAAGAGCAGTCCATGACAGTTTCTTGGTAGGAGAAAAGAGAGAGAAAGTAGGGGTTGTCAGAGAGAGAAGGCACTAGGTGGGGGTGGGGGTGGGGGGGTGACAGAAAGAGAAAACCAGGAGGTGACCCACCTGGTTTTGGCTCTGACCTAGCCTAGTGCTGGCTTTGACTTCACCTAATTGGTATCCCCTGACAGATAATACATGAAGATACATGAATATTAGCCAAAGAATGTTGCTCAGCCCTGTACTACAGTGTCAGAGGAATAAATTACAAGTGCACAGTCCTTTTCCTAATGTTATTTAAAGTGCTATTTGGAGAAGTGCTTTTCCTTATGTTGAGATGTCCTTTTTCAATGTTCCAGGTGTGTGTTTCGACTGATGTCTGTCTTGTGAAGTTTCAGTGTTCTAAAAAACCCTGTCTAATGGGAAATAATCATCAGACCTTGCCCTTTATAGAAGAAAATCATCATAAATTATCATCTATGTGTTTTAAATTAAACCCAGTTGATTGTTCAAACCACTCTACAATAAGATCAGGCCTAATAAGGAAAGGTTCAGGGAGTATCCTCTAAGGATGTACCATTAAAAACACTAGAATTTACAGTGAATTTTTACAAATATTACAGATTTGTTGCAGTAAAATCTATTCCTAGGGTTCATTCATTTAACAGTATTTTTAATCTGCCTTTAAGGAGAGAAAACTTCTCAAGGTGATATACAGGATGAAAACCAAACAAAAATAACCAAGCATGCAGTAAATATACAATAAAATACAGTTAAAAACCTATTAAAGTGGGATAGTGTCCACTTGCAATTCCACTGAGTCCACTGGGATTCACCTACAGGTAACTCTGCTTATGCAGCTTTGATATTTAATTCCAAGTGATGTACAAAGCATCCCAGAATAACAAATTACATAAAATGATGATCTAAGGAGCTTTGAAGATGGCTTGCTGCTACAGGGACAGTTTTCTTTTCTTTTTAAAACATCATTCTCATATCCATGTTTTAAAACAGTATTGGTACTAAATCCTTTCCCCTTTTCTGTCTTTTGCACTGTCTCATAATCTTTTGCACATTTCTGTCTCACTTTGATGGCTTCTTCTTTTTGTAGGTCTTCCTTTTTTATATTGTCTCCCATCTGCTTTTTGTTCCATGTACCTTCCAAGGCTCAGAGCTCAAATTCTGAAAGCCATCTCCTCTAACTTCAAAGCACAGCTTCTTGCTGCTAAGTAGGGAGTGAAAGATCCCTGCAATGCACAGCAGTAGCACCACTTTCTTTGCTTTGGTGGTAATCTCACTGATCAATGAGGAGCAGAAGGATAGTAATACTGTGGTCTGGATCATGCCTGGAAGGCTGGAGCAGGACAATTCTTCCTAAAATTAATCTCCTAGGGTATGTTGGGTTTGGATACTTTTCAAATTATTTATAGTATGTAACAAGATCCAGTCTTTGAATGATTTTTTTTAAAGAGGGTTGCTTCTTGTTCAAGTAGAACATCCCAAAGTATGATTTCTTAGGCTGTAGGAAGGAAACAGACATGCTGGGAAATGTAAGCCTTTTCTTTCTTTGGACATGCAAAGGAAAATACTTTGAGTGTATTTTATAATAGGGATAAGTAGCTGGTGGCTTTACTCTGCGGTGTTCACTTTGCCTGCTTTCTGTTCTGATAGTTTCTAACATTAATGTTGGAATTGTCCATATGGCATGTTAACTCACACTTTGGTTAAATCTTTTGGTGGATGGAGTGGAGATTGATGTGTTTG